ATTCCCTCCTCCACCGCGGGCGGGCAAGGCGCCCTCGGGAGCGACCCGAGGATGCGTCTGCCTTTCGCGGGAGCCAGACCGGAAGCCTGATCCTGGTTTTTGAGGATCACGAAACTGCGGAGGAAATCGGGCGAAGCCGCGGGTCAAATGCAGCCCCGCAGCCTCGGGTGTGAAATTGACAAATAGTGTTGGGGCAAACGGCGACTGCACCGCAAGGCAGCTCTAGTGCGAAATCACCCTTTGTTGGGAAATTCCTGGGGTTTGGGGGTTGGAGCCTGGGGAGGGTGGGATTTGGGGAAGGACAGCAAGGTATAATGCCATGGCATCCACCCTCCAAGGTAGCATTTTTCTCCAGAGGAACTGATCTCTGTCACCTGGAGACCAGCTGTAATTCCAGATCTCCAGGCTCCATCTGGAGGTTGGCAAGCCTATCTATGGGCAAAATCTCCAAATCCGACCAGGACAAAACTGACCTTTCAACAAATATGAGTGACGCTTTAGTGATAATCTCTGATAATGGCCACTCTTTGCCCATTCCCCCAGCTACTAGAAGAAGAATAAATTGTACCTAATAACTATAAGTTTAACTAAAAAGAGAGATTTAGGTGGGGGTAGCCATGTTGCTCTGAAGCAACAGAACAAAGTCTGAGTCCAGTGGCACCTTTAAGACCAACAAAGTTTAATTCTAGATATAAGCGTTCATGTGCACACACACATGGTCTTAAAGGTGCCACTGGACTCAGTCTTCATTCTAAGTTTAACCACAACATCTGCAATGAAAGTAGCATCAGGCACTTCAGCGCTTAAAGAGATTTTTACCCTGAGACCCTGGAGAGCTGTTTCCAGTCAGCATAGATAGCCTTGGATTAGATAGGCCATTGGCAATACAGAGCAGTTGATAGCTACATCTTATTCCCATGTATGAACAAGTGAGTTTGCCATCACATCAGAGTTTTTTTCAGGATCCAGTAAATTTTGGATAGAGGATCAGACCTGATCTAGTATGACAGGTTCATGTGTATATTGCTCTGAGCAGAAGGAGCTACACAAATCAAGTACATTTACATCCTGTTTTCTGTTACCCTTCACATATAATTAAGGCCCTGTTCACACGGAGGATTTGCCATCGTAAAGGCACGAATGGCAGGCGGATTATCAGTGTGCGATCACACCGCAACATCTGAGAAGCGTAGCACACCCGTGGGCAATCTGTGGCATCCCGCCGAAGATGCGCAGTAAAAAACTACCTAGGAAAGTACAGTAGTATCCGGAAAACACAGGGCAAGAGCGGGCGTCTGATCGTAAGAGTGCTAGTATCCCGTGGTTTCCGGCGCCCATCGAGTCCCATCGCAAACCACATGGTTTCCCTAAGCGCATGCGCACAAACACGGAACGCTTGCTGCGCGGCTTCTTTGCCAGCTCCAGCATCGCCGTGTGATCGCGAGCTTCCTGTGACAACGCAAAGACTTGGGAGACCGTGTGATCAAGCTAACGAGCTTTATTTTGCCCCAGGGCAAATAGCCAAAAAATGCCTCCCTCCTTCAATCAGTTGAGTTCTTTACTGGATTCAACCCTCTTTTTTTCTCCATGTCTTCAAAATTTGGTATCAGAGCCAGAATTTATGCTGGCAATGGGGTTGGCAACTCCGTGGGCAATTTCGCACTAGAGCTGCCTCACGGCGCAGCCGCCGTTTGCCCCGACGCAAACATGTCAATTTCACACCCGAAGCTGCGGTGCTGCATTTTGACTCGCGGCTTCGCCCGATTTCCTCCGCAGTTTCGTGATCCTGTTTTTTGAGGATCACGAAACTGCGGAGGAAATCGGGGGAAGCCATGTGCAGGGACGCTCTGGCATTTGGGCAAAACTCTATGGTTTTTTCACCTTCGACTTATTGAGTTTCCCCAATGACCAGAGCGTCCCCGCACAATGCCCCCGACACACTGACATTTCTTCCAGGTGATGTCATCGTGTTGGGGACATTGTGTGGTGATGTCCCTGTTTAGAGGTTGGTTTTCCCCACTAGCCAGCTGGTCCGTGGTGGGAAGAACCCCCTGAAATCGGAGGATCCCCCACCCAGACCGGGGTGCTGGCAAGCCTAGTAGCCACAAATTGGCTGTCACAAGATGGCTACTGCAGCTTATCTCCAGTCACACAGTGAAGATGCTTGTGCTGTGGTAGCTCGATGCTGCCAAAGCAGTGTTTTTAAAAAAAAATCTGCATAGCTGATCAAATCTCCAGTAGTCAATCAGAAGCCTTGCTGGACTAAAAGCCCCACCTGGCCCTGCCCAGTTTCCAGACTGCCAGAAAAGTTTCCATGGCTGCCATGGCACCCACAGGCACAACGCTGGCGACCCCTAGCCTAGTGAATGCTGTCCTCTTGTCGACATGAGTATATCACATTGCATGTCATTTTATTCCCTATTAAAGGGGAATTTAAAAATGCAGGGCTGCCAAATGTGCCATAACTTTTCCTTTGGTGTCGTGGTTAAGTTTGGTTAAGACTCTAATCTGGGAGAACCGGGTTTGATTCCCCACTCCTGGATGACCTTGGGCAAGCCATAGTTCTGATAAGAGCTGTTCTTGAGAAAGAGCAGTTTCTGTCAGAGCTCTCTCAGCCCCACCTACCTCACTGGGTGTCTGTTGTGGGGAGGGGAAGGGAAAGGAGTAGCAGAAAGAGCTACACAAATCAAGTACATTTACATCCTGTTTTCTGTTACCCTTCACATATAATTAAGGCCCTGTTCACACGGAGGATTTGCCATCGTAAAGGCACGAATGGCAGGCGGATTATCAGTGTGCGATCACACCGCAACATCTGAGAAGCGTAGCACACCCGTGGGCAATCTGTGGCATCCCGCCAAAGATGTGCAGTAAAAAACTACCTAGGAAAGTGCAGTAGTATCCGGAAAACACAGGGCAAGAGCGGGCGTCTGATCGCAAGAGTGCTAGTATCCTGTGGCTTCCGGCGCCCATCGAGTCCCGCCGCAAACCACATGGTTTCCCTAAGCGCATGGGCACAAACACTTAACTGGAAGCAGTGCTGCTCCATGGAACTGTGCATGCGCACAAACACGGAATGCTTGCCGCGCGGCTTCTTTGCCAGCTCCAGCATCGCCGTGTGATCGCGAGCTTCCTGCCACAGCGCAAAGACTTGGGAGACCATGTGATCGAGCTAACGCGCTTTATTTTGCCCCGGGGCAAATAGCCACGCCTCACCCCCGTGTTATCTGGCCCGTGTGACCGGGGCCTAAAATTGTTTTCTGTCCAGGGCCTAGTGCAGGGTCCCCAACCTTTTGGAACCTGTGGGCACCTTTGGATTTCTGATACAATGTGGTAGATGCAGCCACTAGTGTTGCCAGGTCCCCTCATTGCTCCGGCAGGGGGATTTGGGGGTATTCTGGGGGTGGGCATGGACATCACGCAAAGTCCCCAACACAATGATGTCACCCGGAAGTGTTGTCATCACACCGAGGACATTGTGCAGGGACGCTCTGGCATTTGGGCAAAACTCTATGGTTTTTTCACCTTCGAATTATTGAGTTTCCCCAATGACCAGAGCGTCCCCGCACAATGCCCCCGACACACTGACATCTCTTCCAGGTGACGTCATCATGTTGGGGACATTGCGTGGGTGATGTCCCTGTTTAGGGGTTGGTTTTCCCCACTAGCCAGCTGGTCCATGGTGGGGAAAAGCCCCTGAAATTGGAGGATTCCCCCACCCAGTCCTGGGTCCTGGCAAGCCTAGTAGCCACAAATTGGCTGCCACAAGACGGCTGCTGCAGCTTACCTCCAGTCACACAGTGAAGATGCTTGTGCTGTGGTAGCTCGATGCTGCCAAAGCAGCATTTAAAAAAAAAATCTGCATGGCTGATCAAATCTCCAGTCGTCAATCAGAAGCCTTGCTGGATTGACAATTGCCAATCTCCTCTTCTTCTCTTCTTCTGCCTCTGCATTTGTCAACGGCTGATAGAGGAAAGGCAGCATTGGAATGCATTTGGTGAATACATAATATTGTTCTCCTGCCCCTGAACTGAATATTTGCCCCTTTTAAAACGCAGTTTTCAAATGCTGACATTTCTCATTTCAGCTTCAGGGAATTTAAAAATGCAGGGCTGCCAAATGTGCCATAACTTTTCCTTTGGTGTCGTGGTTAAGTTTGGTTAAGACTCTAATCTGGGAGAACCGGGTTTGATTCCCCACTCCTGGATGACCTTGGGCAAGCCATAGTTCTGATAAGAGCTGTTCTTGAGAAAGAGCAGTTTCTGTCAGAGCTCTCTCAGCCCCACCTACCTCACTGGGTGATAAAAGGTGTTACTTTGAGTGCCAAGTTGTTCTCCTACTAGCGCCAAACTTTTGATTTAGATCTTAGCAATGATGAGCTTTCATCATTGAAAAACATGTAAACACAGAAAAGAGCAAGAGTCCAGCAGCACTTGAATGACTAACAAAATTTGTGGCAGGGGAGGAGCTTTTGTGAGTCACCGCTCACTTCTTCAGATACTTATAAAGAAGAAAACTGTGCACAGCAATGCAATGCAATGTATGATATCTTGTAAATTGGATATTTCAATAAACCT